CTCCAAAGACGTCCCGAGAGGGGGCCAAGACACCCCAAGAGGTCCCCAATACGACCTAGTAGAGCTCCAAGACGGCTCCAAGAGGAGCCCAAGACTGGGAGCCCGAACCGAAAATCCGACCCTTCCGCCCCAAGAAGGTCCCAGGAGGCCCCGAAGAGGCTCCAAGAGGCGCCCAAGAGATCCCCCCAATAGGCTAAACCCAGAGAGCAGCGCGAGCGCTAAGGACCATAAGCAGCGCGAGCGCTAAGGACGAGCTCTGTTATCTTTGTTCGAGTCTTCCGTCGACCTTTTTTTTTCTGACGCGTTTCGACGAAGATTGGCTCGATTTGTCCTTGACCCCGGCTAGAACCAAAGCGCGCGCGAAGCGCGCGCGATGGTTGTAGTATTTATGCATGTATGTAAGTAAGTATGTATGTATGTTTGCATGTGTGTATGAATGCATGTTTGCCTGTATGTATGTGTGTGTATGCATGCATGCACGCATGCATGCAATCATGCACGTATGCTTGCATGTATGTTGATATGTATGTATGTATGTAGACCTAGTGGTCTATACGCGTGTATATACATAGAGAGAGAGAGAGAAAGAATTGTCTGTCATTCACCGTGGGTAGTTCACGCGTGTATATACACATTCTAGATCTTTACATAAAACATCCCCCACACAGTGCTTGCGTGTAACCTCTGTGGGCTTTACTAGATTGGGCTGGTGCCCGCCTCGTGGGCTCCTCGTGGGCCCTCCGCTCTCTCGGGGGGGGGGCGAAGCTTCGCCTCTGGTGCCCGCACAATGGGGGGGGGCGCGTGGGCGCCCCGCTCGTTGGGGAGGGGGGGTACGAGTTGTGCCGAGGTTTCGCCTGGTGCCTGCCCGCGGGCGCCTCGTGGGCGCCTCCATGGCTCGAGCCACGCAGATTCTCTTTTGGAAAACAAAATAGGATCTACCCCCCCCTCCTGGCGTTATCGCCCCCCCCTTTTCGGATATGTAAATCACATACGATTCTGACCACATGTCCACCCGAAATATGAATTTACACTATCCCAGGCCAAGTGGTATCCCCCCCGAGGTTCTTTTTGTAAGTAACGCTATGCGGTGACATTTTCTGCTCTAGCATAAGATTTGTTTCGCGAGTCCTTTTTACAAAAAAATGAGACGAAATGCGTGCGCGCGCCGCCGCGCGCGCATGCCGAAATCCTTCAAAAACCTTCGCTGATGGAAGGATTTCGCAATCGAGTTTCCAAAACACATACAAAAACAAAAGGTTTCGCAACACGGATTTGCGAAAAAAACTTCCGCGCGAGCTCGTGCGAAGTCATCGGAAAACCATAGGTTTTCAATCCAAACGGGCGTCGCGCGCGCGCATGTCGAAATCTGTCGACCGCGTTTGCGCGTGCGCCGTCGCGAGAATCCTCTGCAAAATACGGAACGAAATGCAGACGCGCGCGTCGTCGCGTGCGTATGCCGAAAACCTTCAAAACCCATCGGTTTCGTAAGGATTTGAAAAATCGTGTCTCAAAAAAACAGTACAAAACCACAAGGTTTCGCAACACGGGTTTTCAACAAAAGCGTGCGCTCGCGCTCTTGCGTCGTCGTCGTCGTCGTCCTCCCTCTTCCCTTGTCGTCGTCGTCGTCGCCGTCGCCGTCGTCGTCTTCTGTCTTTCCTCGTCGTCGTCGTCGTCTTGGCGTCGTCGTCGCTTCCGTCGTCGTTGTCGCCGTGGTCGTCTTTCCTCCCTCGTCGTCTTCGTCGGCGTTTCGTCGTTCTCCCTCCTATTTCGTCGCCGTCGTCGTCGACGTCGTCTTCACTCCTCCCTCGTCGTTATCCTCCTCCCTCGTCGTCGTCGTCCGTCGTCGGCGTCTCGTAGTCGTCCCTCCTATTTCGTCGCCGTCGTCGTCGTCTTCGTCGTCGTTGTCGTCGTCGTCGTCTTCCCTCCTCCCTCGTCGTTGTCGTCGTCGGCGTCGCCGTCCTTCCTCCTTCTTCGTCGTTCGCGTCGTCGCCGTCTTCCCTCATCCATCGTCGTTGTCGTCGTTGTCGCCGTCGTCGTCCTCCTTCCTCCCTTGTCGTCGTCTTCGTTGGCGACGTCGTCGTCGTCGTCGGCGTCGTCGTCGTCGTCGACGTCGACGTCGGCGGTGTCGTCGTAGTCGGTGTCGGCGGCGACGTCGTCGTCGTCGTCGCTGTCGTCGTCGGCGTCGGTGTCGTGGCCAAGTGCCATGTGGTACCTACCGTCACGGTCTTGTCTTAAGAAGTCTTGCGACCAAGTTGCGGGTGGGTGGGGGGGATGTTTGCGCGAGCAGTGGAGGTGGTCGGGCGCGGTGCAGGGTAGTCAATTGCACCACATAGCTTGCACCACATTTTTCTTCCTCCTCTCATCTTCCTCCTCCTCCTCGTCCTCCTCCTCTTCCTCCTCCTCCCCCTCCTCCTCCTCCTCCTCCCCCTCGTCGTCCTCCTCCTCCTCTTCCTCCTCCTCCTCCTCCTCGTCCCCCTCCCTTCGTGGGCTCGAACCACATAGCTTGCGCCACGCAGATTGCACCGGGTAGTTTGCACCACATCGCTTGCGCCCCACAGCTTCGACCAAATGTGTGCACCACATAGCTTGCACACCAGTGCGGCACTTGGGGTCCATGCTGGCTAACAGGCGCACGCGCATGTTCGAACATACGTGTAGATGTGTTTCTATATATATATATATATATATATATATATACCCACGTTGGAGTTTAATCGTCTGGCTTGGAATCCATTGGCTCACGATCGATTGAATTGCAGTCGATCGGATTGTAATCGGTTGGATTGCAATCGTTTGGAAGGCAATAGTCTGCGTTGCAGTGGATCTGATCGCAGTCGATTGGACTCCATTCCAATGGACTGCAATCGATTGGAATGTAAGCGACTGAGAAGACTGGGTGAACAGCAAGAGAAGGAAGAAGAGCAGGAGGAGGACTAAGAACAGGATGACGCATCCCCCCTCCCCCCAGTCCGTTGTTTGGGGGTGCTTTGGGGGGGGTTAAAGTCATCCAGGTTTTTCGTTGGGATATCGTGGGAGGCCTCGCGGAAGGCTCGAATTGTCCGTTCGTGTTCCTTCTCTTGGGCTCCTCTTGGGGCAGTCTGAGGGGCTCTCGTGGGCCGTCTTGGGTGCTTCTGGGGCCGCGTTGGGGCCATCTTGGGCCGTCTTGGGCCCATATGTGGGGCTTCTTGGGCCGTCGTGGGGCGATCGTGAAGGCCTCTTGCGCCATCCTGGAGCTTGGGAAGCCCGAGCATGCGAGAACGCGAAACACATTGAACAGCACAAGTAGCATACGTGATTGTTTCATCTTGGGGCCCTCTTGGAGTTCCTCTTGAAGCGCTCTTGGGGCTTCTGTGGGACATGTGGGGCCGTCTTGTGGCCATATGGGTGTCTTCGGGCGCTCTTGGGCCGTCATGGAGGCCTCTCGGGTCCTCCTGGGTGCTTCTTGGAGCCGTCCTGGCCCGCTTGGGGGCCCTCGGGTTCATAAAGCATGAGCAGTGGGAGCAGAGCGGCGCGCTGCCAACGTGAGGAGAGGCAGTGAACGAGCACATGCTCTGAGGCCAAGTCGCAGAGCGGCGCTCTGCTAATCACGAAGCAGGATGGGGAACCCTACCTTGAGGCAAATTAGCAGAGCAGCGCCCTGCGAATGAGGGAAGGAGTATCGAGTGCGTACGCGTTGGGGCAAAATTAGCAGAGCGCCGCTCTGCGAATTTCGAGCCCGAACGGTCGGAGAATGTGGGGCCCCAGCTCCTAAACTATGAGAACCGGGAAATCTGGACAGAGAACACATGACACCTGGGGGGACTTCTCCTCGCGCCTCCCGGCGCGGTGGCGGCACACACACACACACACGCACACACACACACACACACACACACACACACACACGCACGCACGCACGCACGCACGCACGCACGCCCTCCCGCCCGCCCGCACGCACGCACGCACGCACGCACGCATTCACGCACATGCACACACAGACACACACGCACACACACACACACACACACACACACACACACGCACACGCACTTCATGTCAGAGTTCTCAGGAAGGCGTCGTGGGGTCTCTTCGAGCTCCTTCCGCGGATTCTAAGGGGCAGTTTGGGGTCATCTGGGGGGCGTCCTGGGGACCTCTTGGGGGCCCCTTGCGGCCTCTTGAGGGCCTCTTGCGGCTTCTTGGGGGTCCCTGGGAGCTTCCTCGGGGCCGCAGGCTCGAAATGTCCGTTCGGGTCCCCCCATTTGTGCCCCCTCTCGGGGCCGTCTTTGGGGCCTCTTGGGGCGTCTTGGGCACCTCTGGGACCGTTTTGGGGCCTTCTTGTGCAATGTAGGGGCCTTCTTGGACGCCTCCTGGGCCGTCTTGGGGCGATCTTGGGGGCCTCTAGGGTCGTTAGGGAGCGTCGAAAAGGCGGGAACGCCAAGCGCCTTCAGAAACCAGATGGAGTTCAATGATGTTGGCCTCTGGGGCCTTGGGAGGCCTCTTGAGGCGTCATGCAGGCCTCTTGGGCCGTCTGGGGGCCATCTTGAGCGTCTTGGAGCGATCGTTCGGCGACTCGGGGCCCTATCGGACCGTCCTCGGGGCGTCTTGGGGTCCCTTTGGCTCTTCTGGGGGACCTTTGGGGCCCGAAAACGTCACGCGACAAGACAACCGGGGCACGCTCCAAGCCCTAAGAGATTTGAGAATTTGGGGCCTGGGCCCCCTCAAGACTTCTCAGGGGTGTGAGCCGCGGCTCAAAGGATGCGCCAAATAGGCTTGCGTACCTATGCTTATATTAAGATGTGTAGTATACGTACGTATCCTTAGATGTTTATAGATGTATATCTAGAAACCTCTATATGTCTGCATGTTTGCGTCTTTGTGTATATATATATATGTTTATTGTATATATTCGTACAGTTACTAACCAGTATGTGCATCCACCTATACATAAACATACATGAGTTGTGTGTATATGTATACGTATCTATCTGTAGATCTAGATTGCGATCTCTTTCTTCGCGCAGGTGGCCAAGAGCTATGTGCAGTCCAAGGAGGCGCCCGCGAAGGAGATCCTCACGGATGTCAACGAGCTCTCCAAGGGCATACAGCACCCGCTGCGCGGGCTCTTCCTGAGGCGACCGGGCGGCCGCATGTGGGGGGAGGCCTGGCCGGGAGCTGGTCGGGGAAGGGCGCCTCCTGCCTTACAGGAGGGTCAAATACCCATACAGCGGAGGCCCGTGCCAACAAACACCTTGCTTGCCTCCAGCGTGCCCTGTGTTCTTTGGTTTTCGGTGGTTTTGCCATGGAAAGCGTTGACGTTCCCGCACCCAAAAATCCATGGACATCCTGGGGTCTCAGAGCTGGGTTTCTTGTGGAGTTCTTTGTGGACTACCCTCCACTGTCTGGCTGCGTTTCCATCGTTTTCCTTCTCAGAGGGGGTCTGGCCTGGGGCCCCGGGGCGGGTCGGGGAAGGGCGCCTCCAGCTTCACAGGAAGAACACGTACCCATACGGCTAACTATCCCTCGGTTTCCTCCGGGAGGCTCTCGTTGCCAACGCTGGATTCGCCTCGACAATTCTTGGTCAGGACGCACCCCGGGAGAGGTCTTGGGAGTAGCGGTCTGGGTACATTCTAGTTCCCCCAAAGCGCGGGTCGGGGAAGGGCGTTTCCTGCCTTCCCATTTCGCCGTGCGACGCCAGCTGCTCTTTTTCGTCGTCGTTCTCCTCCTCCTCCATCTCCTCCTCCTCCTCCTCCTCCTCCTCCTCCTCCTCCTCCTCCTCCTCCCTCCTCCCCTTCCTCCTCCTCCTCCTCCTCCTCCTCCTCCTCCTCCTCTCTCTCTCTCCCGTCCTCCTCCTCCTCCTGTTCCTGTTCCTCCTCCTCTCCCCCCTCCTCCTCCTCCTCCTCCCTCTCCTTCCCCCTTCCTCCTCCTCCTCCTCTCCTCCTCCTCCTCCTCCTCCTCCTCCTCCTCCTCCTCCTCCTCCTCCTCCTCCTCCTCTTCCTCTTCTGAAAAGGGGGCTGCAGCTTCTGGTTGGGCGTCCAACCAGGCACAGCCTCTTCTCGGGCGGCGCGGGGTCCAGGACACAGCCAGCGGGGCTCTCCATCTGGTGTGCCTCGCTCTGGACAAAGCCTCCCGTCGGGCGACACGGTGTCTGGTCGGAGCCAACGCGGTTTCATCCGGTGGGCCTCCACTTGGACAGCGTCTCCTCAAGCAGTGGCGAAGCATCCTGTCTCGCCTTTAGGCCCACCAAAGTTCAAAGAAGCTGTTGTGGTTGACCTGATGAACAGAAGGCTCGGAAGTCTCCCGGCCTTCTGAGAAGTTCTCGAAGCCTGCCACGAATTACACAAAAAAACATTCTCAGGAGACGCGAGGGAAGCCCCGCCGCCTTCTGAGAAGGCCCTCTCCTTCTCACTTCCCCCCCTCGCTCGCCGCCAACCGCAGCTTGAGCCCCCAGCTCCTCGGTGGGCCCTCTGAGGCACATGGCAGATGGCAAGTGGCTCGAGCCCTCTGTGGGGCCTCTGAGGCAAATGGCCTCTGTGGGCACCGTCCCCAGTTCTGCCGCCCACGTCCTCTTAGGGTGGGGCTCTCTCAGGTCCTCCAGGGTGGGGCTCGCTCGGGCCTCCCAGGGTGGGGCGCTCTCGGGTCCTCGGCGGTGAAGTTCCTGAGGCGATGCTGTCACGCGATGCTGCTCGCATTCTTCGTAATGCTGTCCCACTGTCGATTTTACCACGAGGGCAGACGTAGCGATCGCAAGGCAGGCGGGCACGTTGGCAGCTATGTCGTCCGACGGCCCCCCCCCACCCCCTGCACAGGCAGCCATGCAGCTCCTCTCAACAGGGCGAAATTCCAAGGGCGATTCGGATGTTGAAAGGGGCGCCCACATCAGGGCTTGTTTCGATTCGTGCGAATCGATTCGACTTCGATGGCTTCCGATTCCGATTCGAGTTGACTTGGGATTTCGATTTGGGTTCCGATTTCTTGTTGGAGACATACTCGTTTGCCGATGTCCGCCGATTTAATTTTTACCAACTTGGCTGCCGATTTCCGCCGATCCAACGCATGTTGATCGCCGATCCCACTCGTCGTTTCGATTCTTGGCTCTCCTGGCCCACATCTCGAGCGAGGGCCAGTGGCAGAGAGGGGGCAGCGAGGGGAGGAAGGGAGGGAGGCGATGGGGACGGGGCGCAGCTCCCCTGTACTTGGCATCGCTCGGGCGTTTCGCATCCTCTTCTCCGCACACGGCATCTGCCGCGTGGCCGCCGACGCCCGTTTTTGGTGCATCTATCAGCTTATTCCGGAATGCACCTCCTCCTCCTCCTCCTCCTCCTCCTCCTCCTTCTCCCCCTCCTCCTCCCCCTCCTCCTCCTCGGAGTGCAGGGTCACCGGCGCGGTATTTGACCCCTACTCGCACGGTGCTGCGCTGCATGCGCTTTCCTCCTGGGGCGCCCCGGCAGGCATGGGCCCGAGGCGTGCGCGGCACTGCAAAGGGCGGGCCGGTCTCTCGGACGGCCCCGCGTCCGAGGACCATCGGGGAGAATCCTGCACCGCCTGGGCGAAAGCGAGAGCACGCACGAGGCCGAACACGTGCACGGGGAGCGGACGTCCGAGCGATGGCAGGTGTGGTGTCCCCCTGGAGGGAGAGCGCGCGATTCTATCTTCGCGTGGCGTGCCCCCCGCGCCATCTGCCGAGGCGCTCCTGGTGCGGCCCCTCCCTCCGAATCGTGCCTGGGTCACCCGCGGGGTCCGCGAAGGAATCCGCGCTGCGGGGGTCTGCGCTCGAGAGGCGCTTTTTTGTTCTGCGGGGGGGGGGGGGGCGACACGAGGGCGCGGAGACCACTGAGCGACGCAAAAAAACGGGGCCGTCTTCGCCGACGCTGGCGCGCAAGCTGCCCGCTGGTTAGGGTCGCGCGTGAGCTCTCCCGCTTCCAGCGCAGCGTGCCGCGCTGGCGGCCCGCGTAAGCCACCGCGTCAGGTCGCTGCAGTCGGGGTTATGAGCTGCTGTGCAGTTTGCCTCTGGTTTTCCTTCGGTCTTCGAGGGGGAACCGAAGCTGAAGTTATGGAGGAAAGCGGCCTCGTTCCTTCTTTGTCGTTCCTCTTAGTGGGCCCTGGAAAAGACATGACCGTGTTTGTTACCGGTTCCGTTTTGCCGTTTGTGTTGCTTGTTCCGACGCAGTTGGTTTACCGGTTCCGTCGCCGTGTTTCACCGGTCCCTCCTGTCGCCGTTTTTGTTGCCGCTTCCATGTTCAAGAGACGTGTTTGCTTTGCCTCGGAAACGGTAAAAGACGTTTCTGGGGCCCTCCTAAGTCGGTTTTTCGGTCAACGCCCCAGCTGCGCGTCGTCTCGCGTACAGTCGGGGCCCTGAAGAAGGAACCCTTTTCGTTGGGGAAGGGCTCGGTGTTCCTTGATTTTTCCTGCGGTTGTTTTCCTGCGGTTTTTGCATCGGAAATCGAGGTTGAGCTTATGGGAAAAAGGGGCCCCGTTCCTTTTTTAGGGTTCCTTAGGTCAACGCCTCGACTGTAGGCAGGACCCGCTTCCGATCGTCGCCCCGCTGCGCCCTCCGCGCGGCCCGGGAGGCGCGAGGGTGGGCGGCCGCAGCCTCCCGAACGAGGTATGTGGAGAGATGCACACACAGTGGAGGCCCATGCCAAGAAGCACCTCTTCCCATTCCTCCTCCTCCTCCTCCTCCTCCTCCTCCTCCTCCTCCTCCTCCTCCCCCATCCTCCTCCATCCTCCTCCTCCTCCTCCTCCTCTCCTCCTCCTCCTCCTCCTCCTCCTCCTCCCCCCTCCCCCTCCTTCCCTCCTCCTCCTCCTCCTCCTCCTCCTCCTCCTCCTCCTCCTCCTCCTCCTCCTCCTCCTCTCCTCCTCCTCCTCTCCTCCCCTCCTTCCCCTCCCCCTCCCCCATCCTCCTCCTCCCCCCTCCTCCTCCTCCTCCTCCTCCTCCTCCTCCTCCTCCTCCTTCTCCTTCTCCTGCTTCTTCTTCTCCTTCTCCTCCACGCGCGCTCCGGCGGCGCCTCCTCCTTTCACCCCCTGCTGCGCGCGCGGGAGGGGTCCCACGACACGATCGACATGGGCACGGCAAGATCGATGATCATCAGGATGTGTGTTACAGGGTCCCGTGCCAAGAAACACCCTGCTTGCCTCCAGGGTGCCCTGGGTTTCGATGGTTTTGCGATGGACAGCGCGACGCGCCCGCGTCAGAAATCCATGGACGCCCTGGGGTCTCAGGGTTTTGGTTTCTGGTGGAAGGCTTCTTGTGGTAGGGCCACCACTGTATAGAGAGATGTGCATACCCTGCGCTGGCCTGGCCCAGCGGACTGACGGCCCTCCCCCAGGCAGGTCCGCCTACGATCGGACTCGATCCGATTCGGTTCGCCGGCGGGGGCCACGATTCAAGTTCGATGCGATCTGGCTCCGCCCACCAGCCTCGGCCAGGGCCGGCCGGAAGCGGGGCGCGGCCACTTCGATTCCGATTCGGGACGATTCGTTGGCGATTCGATCAACTCTTGATCCGATCCGATCTCGCGATCCGATCCAGCGCAGATCTGCCAGGTACTACATCTCGCAGATGCTCAAGGACAAGGTGCCCGACACCGGGTCCGAGTTCGAGGGCGAAGGCGGTGCGTCGAGGCCTCCTAGATGGGGTCCGAGTAGATGGGGTCGGAGGATCGCGCCGCATCGCCGATGCATCCGCGATGCGGCTCGATGTGGAGCCCGTGTGTTCTCCACGCCGACGGCGCTGATGCATCGCTGACGTCGCCGATGCATCGGCGATGCGGCGGCGCGATCGTCCGACCCCATCTACTCGGACCCCATCCAGGAGACCTCGAGAGCTCGGCGACCCTCCTCCTTCTCCTCCTCCTCCTCCTCCTCCTCCTCCCTCCTCCTCCTCCTCCTCCTCCTCCTCCTGGCAGGAGGGGGGCAGCAGGCCTGAGGTGGAGGGCAGTCCCGCGCCGCAGCTGCGCCCCTCGAGAGGGGGGGGGGGGGGAGAGGCTCGGGAGGGGCCTGAGGGGCTTGCTCGCGCCTCGGGGGGGGGGGGGGGAGGGAGGCGGGGGCGGGGGAAGGCCTGGGAGGGGGGAGGGAGGCGAGGGGCGGGGGGGGGGGCGGGGGGGGGGGACTCTGGGAGGAGGGGCGGGGGAAGGCCAGGGAGGGGGGCACCGGGGAGGGAGGCGAGGGGGAGGGAGGCGAGGGGGGGGGGGGGGAAGGGAGAAGGGGAGGGGGAAGGCTAGCGAGGGGGAGGGAGGCGAGGGGGAGGGCAGGGCTCGTTTCGATTCCCCCGATTCGATTCGATTCGACTTCGATGGATTCCGATTCCGATTCGATTCGACTTGGGATTCCGATTTGGGTCACGATTTCGCATTGGACGCATACAAGCCTGCCGATTTCCGCCGATCCAATTTTTGTCCGACTGGGCTGCCGATTTCCGCCAGTCCGATTCGTGTCGATTCGATTTGGGCTCTCCGGGGAGGGGGGAGGGGGGAGGTGCCATGGCGCCAACATCGCAGAGTGGATTTCGCACGGGCAACAATTGGATGGGCCTGGATTGTCCTGGAGAATTTCGCTCCAGATTTCGGAGTGGATTCCGTGCGGATTTTCTTGGGCCAGGAAAGAAATCCAGGACAAATCCACGTGGAATTCACTTTGTTTTTCGTTCGCCGTTTCGTAGCTTTGCGTAGACAGAAATCCACGCAAAATCCGCTGCATCGCGTCTGTAAGGCAGGTGCAGTGGGAGGTGGGGGACGGAGACAGGGGGGGGGAGGAGGCGCTCGGGAGGGGGAGGGGCCTCCTCGCCCCACTAGGGGGGGAGGGTGAGGGGGGGAGGAAGGGAGACGGGGGGGGGGGAGGCCAGGGAGGGGGAGGGAGGCGAGTGGGGAGGTGGGTGGGGGGAGACAGGGGGGGCGGGCGTAGGCAGGGTCGGCGGCGGGCGTGAGCTCGTCGACGGCCTGTTCGTACTTCGGGCGCATGTGGTTCTCCACCGCATCGTAGAAGCACCTCCTCCTCCTCCTCCTCCCTTTCCTCCCTTTCCTCCTCCTCCTCCTCCTCCTCACCACCACCACGCCCTGCCCTTGGAGTAGTTCGCGTCAATCTGCCTCTTCGCGTCGCCGCCCGTACCCCCGCCATTCTCGATGATTCCACCAGCTCTGGGAGCTCGTCTTTGACCAACTGTGGTAAATCGTCCTTCTTGACTTGACTGTGGTATGTTCACCTCCTCCCTGACTCCCTCAACGGAATCCTTGATCTCCGTAACCGCTTGCTCTGCCGTTCTCGCAGCGCGATTCGTCTGCTGCGCGACAGCTTTGGCCATGGTGACCTCCTTTTTCGTGTCCTGTAAGTCCTTGCTCAAACCATTCATCATTTGCATAAGTTTCCTCATCATGCTTTTCATGTCCAAGACCTCGTCGTCCTCCGCCTGCTCCCCCTCCTCATCGTCAGCCTCTTCCTCTTCGTCGGATTTCTGCATTCCTTCATCTTTCACGTCCTCCTTTTTATCATGTTCCTTGTCGCCAGCACGCGCGATCTTCTTATCAGGCGCGTTGGCGATGCTGCCATTCGCCTCAAGCTTGCTGCCCTCGCTCATGTTGACCGCGGCCTTTCCTGAGTGTCCGATCCACGCCCGAAGACCGAGAGGTTGCCAGGGCTTGCCGGCTTGAACCGTTGCTGACTTGAGCTGTTGCTGACCTGAGCCAGGCTACGGTATCGAGGGAGTGCCCTTTGTGCAAGAGGAGGGGACAAGACGAGAGGCGGCCGCGGCGACAGGAGGCGAGACAAGAGAGCGCACGCATGCGGCGAGGCCGCAGGAGGGCGCGCGGGGCGGCCGGGCCGCAGGGCAGTCCCTGGCAGCGAGCGCGGGGCGGCGTCGCGGGCGCACCCAGGAGAGGAGCCAGCGGCTGCAGTGCTGGGCGGGGCCCAGCAACTGGGAGCAGCGGGAGCGGCGGGCCACCGGGCGGCAGGCCGGGGGCGCTGAGGGGGAGAGCTGCGGTGGGCTGGGCGTGTGGCCCTGCGCCGGTGCAGGGTGGCCTCGAGGCGAAGCGCGACCACGGCGCGGGGGGGGTGCGAGGCGGCGAGGAGACGAAGCTGAGCGGCGGGAGAGTGGCTCTTTGTTCGAGCCGTCTTGGACTGGTCTTGGGGGCCTCGTGGGCCGTTTGGGGCGCTCGGAGTACCCGAAGGCGCCGACACAACTGTTTGAAGCCATTCGTGGTGTTCGCCTCGTGGGGCGACCCGGTATCACCCAAGCCTCTTAGGGTCATCTTGGTCGTCTGGCAACGACCTCCAGCCCCGAGGAGGAGGAGGAGGAGGAGGACGACGACGACGACGAGGACGACGGGAATGTTTTCGATGGTTTGGGGTCCTTGTCGAGGTCACCCTCGCGTAGAGCCTCTCTGTGTCAAATGAGTCCGTCGAGGACGTCGCTGGGGCCTCCTTTGTTCCAAGTTGGTCGGGGCGGGTTCCTGTGGGAGAGGGTGCGGGAGGGAGCCGGTTCACGACCCGAAAATTCGGGGGGGGTCGGCGGATGTTTACAAACATACATGCTCATGGCTTCCTCGTGGAGGTGGTTTTGGATTGTTTTGGGGCCTCTCCTGGGCCTCTTGGGGATTTGCTTGGGCCTCTTAGGGGCCTCCTGGGACTTCTGGGAGGCCTCTTGGGGGCCTGGTGGCGGTCTCGGGGTCATCTTGGGGCGGAGGGCTCGAGAGGTCGGTTCGCGTTCCACTCTTTAATTTTGCCTTTCGTGCCGGCCTACCAAGCAGCCGGCCGGGCCGCAACTTCCTCGGGCTGCGTCTGGCCCATTTTGCCCTTGTTGCCGGCATGCCAAGCAGCCGGCCGGGCCGCGACCTGCTCGGGCTGCGTCTGGCCCATGTTGCCCTTCGTTTGGCATGCCAAGCAGCCGGCCTGGCCGCAATCTCCTCGGGCTGCGTCTGGCCCAGCCTGCCCAGCTGCAGCTGGTGAAAGTCCTGGGTTTCAGGTCTCGCGCGAGCTCCTTTGCCGGTGGGTGGTTTGGCCGATCAGGATACATTAGACATTACTTGGGGCCCCTGATGCCAAGCTCCCCCCGCCACGGCGGCGTACGTTGGCTATCTTCTCGGCTGCACTCGGTGCCCGCGTGGCAGTCTGCTCGTCCGCGGAGCTGGCCTGATACGAACCGTTGAAGGTCCCAGCGAAGTCGTGTCGACCTTTTTGGTGCGCGGCGCTTCGAAGTTGATGGTGTCCTTCGGGCGTTGTGTCTCCTGCTTTCCCGCATTGACTCCTGCTTCTCCTCGAGCTCGCAGACGGCGCCGCGGACTGTCAGCAAGCTGACAGGTCGCAGTGAGTGTGCAGCGGGCTCGGTGGGATTCAGGGTGGCTTGCGGTGTGCTGGTGGGGTGTTTGCCCTCAGCGCAGAGCAGGAAGGGTTGTGGCTTGGAGGAGCGTGTGCAGCCCTGAGTCCAGTAAGCTCGAAGGGACCAGATGACACTCCACTCAGTGCCGACAGCAATGTGGCGGATTTCGGCTGCGAGCGGGGGGGGGAAATGAGAAGGAGAAGGCCTTCTCAGAAGGCGGCGGGACTTTTCAGAAGCCCTCGCTTCTGAGAGCTTATTCGTGTCTTCGGGAAAGCTCAGAAAACTTCTCAGAAGGCCAGGGGACTTCCGAGCCTTCTGAGAAGGTCCGCCCCTTCTCAATTCCCCCCTCGCTCGCCGCCGAGATGACAAACCACTCAGTGCCGACGGCACCGTGGTAGATTGGGGCTTTGGAGGGGTGTGCACGGGAGCGGGCCAGGGTTTCTTCTTCTTCTTCTCATTCGTATTATGTTTATCCTCATTGTTATTATTATTATTCTTCTTCTCAGCGTCGAGGGGGGAGAGTTGAGGAGGGAAGGTGGTTGAAGACAGGGACGGGCGTTGGACGGGCAGGGGGCGAGAGGAGGAGAGGTGATGGTATGAACGAGCATAGGAGGCAGGCAGGCAGACAGGCAGGCAGGGTCGCCCGCTCCCTGCACACACAGGTGGCAACATCGACGACGCATTCAACTTTATCTTTAGCAATTTCATGGAGAGCAACCGGCTGTGGGTGCGGATCCAGCACCAGGGTCCTGCCAAGGACAAGGCCGCTAGCCGATGGCAACTTGTTGAAACAGGTATGGGAGTGGGAGGGGCGGGAGGAGCGGGAGGAGCGGGAGGAAGGATGCACGGAGGAGGGAGACGGGGAGGGCGGAAGAAGCCGGGAGGAGGATTGGGAGGAGTGGGGCGTCGATGATTAACGGGTGAGGAGGGCGAGGGGAAGGCTGTGCAGGAGGAGGAGCAGGAGGAGGAATGAGGACAAGGGGGAGGCTCAAGAGGTAGAGGATGTGGGAGGAGGAGGAGGAGGGAGGAGGAGGAGGGAGGAGGAGGAGGAGGAGGAGAGGAGGAGGAGGAGGAGGAGGAGGAGGAGGAGGAGGAGGAGGAGGAGGGGGAGGTGGTGTGCGGAAGAGTGGGAGGTGGGAGGACGTGAGGAGGATGTCGATGAGGGGGAGGGGGGCGCGAGGAGAGGCAGACGAAAGAAGGGGGGGGGGGGGGGCGCAGGAGCAGAGGGCAGGGATCCCGGCAGCCCCAGCTCGCTGGGCCCAAGGCCCGACGGGAGAAGGAGAGGCACGACCTCCGCGCGCTCGTCGGGGCCAACCTGGGGAGGCTCAGCCAGCTGGAGGGGATGACTGTAGACTACTACGTCAACACCGCGCTGCCCAGGAGCCCCGCCCGCTGGAGCTGCTCTGCTCTGCACGCCGGTCGTTGAAGGTAGGTCTGTTTGGACATGTTGATCCGAATCTGCTACGGGCGCCTTCCTACATCAAAAGAGTCGAGCTCCTGCAGTCCTTCTTGCCTCCTCCTCCGTGGCGGGTGGAAGCCCAATCTATTCCCAACGCCTTCCTACTTCATGGTTCTACCCACTTCTTCCGACCAGCGGGTAGTGTCACGGGCTGCCAACGCACCCGTGTCCGCGCCCTCGCCTGTCGGGATTCCGGGGCGCGCTCCCCTGGATGCGCGGTCGCACGGATGCCTTCGCGGCGGGGGGGGCAGCCGCGACAAAAACGCCCCGCATCCGAGGGGTCGCGGCCTAGAGGCCCGGTTTGCGAGGCTGCGGATACGAATTTTTGCTTAGCAGTACCCGCACTGGGCCTTGCCTCAGCAGGTGCACCGGCGCAGCAGCCGCCTCCGTCCCCGCTGGCGGGGCTGGCCGTGCCAGCTCACGCAGGGAAGTGATCCGTCCCCCCTGAGTGGCCCTCGACTTGCCTCCCCCCCTCTGCGCCCTGTCCTGTTTTCCTTTCTTGCATGTTGGCCAATTCGCTACAACGGTGCCCCCGTTTAGTGGGATCCATCCGCCTGCGCAGACAACCTCTGCCTAGCCGCCGACGGAACAAAATTAGGAGCGCCCGTGGCTGTGAGGATGGAGTTGTATGGTGGCGTTGAGGTCCACGTCGATGTTGACGGGGTGGACGTGCAGCCCGATCTGGAAACGTGCTTGGGCGTACGTCGGTAATGCTGACGATCAGGATGAAAAAGTATGTGGATAACGGCGACGCCGATGACGATGGCGATGATTCTTGTGGTGGCGGCGAAGATATCCACAACTCCAGCGAGCAGCCAGAGACAGGGCCTGCATCTTGTGGGCCAGGCGGCGAGCTCTGCGCGCGACGCGGGTACAACAGGCGCACAAACGAGGCAGCGTGAAACGTGTTGACCTCCAGTCGGACCTGCCCCATCTACAGGGGGGAAATCAAAACATAATACAAACATACTCTGGAGACGATTTGTTGGATTTGTGTTGAGTTTTTTTTTCCGATGGTGTGTGGTATTTTGCCCGTTGGTTCTTGCCTTTGGGCGGATTTGTTGAAAGTTGTTTATTGTTCTGTTTGGGTACTATTTGAGAGTATGTGTCTTTTTCTGCGTCTTCTGGATTATTTTGTGGGCATGTTTCGATTATTCGTTCGTCCAAGATTCCCCTGGAAGGGGACAGGCCCGACCTAACCCGAGATCGAGGAAGCTTGGCCAGCGCGCCACTGGAATTCCCGCCGCATGGCCCCGAGGCGCTGCCACACACGCGAGCGAACCGAACGGAAGAGTCATGAAGGGCCCATCTCCCACCACCGCTACAAGAGGTTGGAGAGGGAGGCGGAGGAGGAGGAGGAGGAGGAGGAGGAGGAGGAGGAGGAGGAAGAGGAGGATGAGATCCTCCTCCTCCTCCTCCTCCTCCTCCTCCTCCTCCTTCTCCTCCTTCTCCTCCCTTCTCCCCCGTTCTCCATGTGGTAGTGGTGATGGAAAACCTGCCCATCGAATCAGGTAGGACCGCATACCCAGACATCTGGCTGCTCCAATTGTTTTGGTGCGTGGACCCTGGAGGTCCAGACCTTTTCCTTGGGACCCGCTTTTCGTCCGGAGTTGTTTTTTGACGCTACCGAGACCCAGCAAGGGCCCCCGGAGGCCGAAAACTGCCAAAACCCCGCCGCTCTTTTTGGGGGGGGGCGTCGGATCTCAGGGCACATGTCAGCCACGAAGCACTTGTGCCGACTGCGCCGACGTTCGCGCGCAGGCCGTCCGCGCAGGGCCCCCCCTCGTGCGCGTGGCCTGCTGCACCAGCCGCACGCAGAGCCCGCCGTGCAGACGCAGTTTTCTTCGTTGCCCAGGAGGAGGAGGAGAAGGAGGAGGAGGAGGAGGAGGAGGAGGAGGGGGGGGGGGAGAAGGAGGAGGAGGAGGAGGAGGAGGAGGAGGAGGAGGAGGAGGGTCCGAGTTCGATGGCTTCCGGTCCCGACTCGATTTGGCGTGGGATTCCGATCTGGGTCCCGATCTCTCGTCTTGGGCGCGCACTACGGCCTGCCGGTATCCGCCGTCCCGATTCATGTCGATCCCCGATCCGACTTCTTGATTCGATTCTGGGCTCTCCTGCCTGATGGAACCCTCTCGTGCGCGTTGCTGATCTGGGACAGCCTCGGGCGCCTCTCGCCCCTGTCCTGGCGCGAGCGCCGCTCGAGAGGCCGTTCGGGCTTAGGAGCGGCTCCGTATGGAAGGCATGTCCCGAAGACGACGTTCCGAAGTCGAGCGAGTTGCACACCTGGTGTGACGAGTACACGTTGGACGCTGAAAGCAGGTAGTTCTGGGCTCCCGGATCCCAATCTAATTAATTCAAGCGCCCGTCGACTTCAAGAACCGGTCTGCTTTTATCGTGTTCTGTTGTCTTTTGGGAGGGTCTGGACCCAGTCTACTTGATTCGCCTTCCTACTTCATGTCTCACCTACTCCGAGTTTCTTAATAAGCGTCGGAGGGGGCGTCACCCCCGCCGACAGCCCCACATCGACCCCCGTCGCGGGCAGCCACCGCGCGCCGAAGACGCTCCGACCCCCGTCGCGGCGCGACGACCAGGCGAGGTTGACCCCCGTCGGGGGGGGGGTACTGCTGCTCGGTGAGTCCCCCGAGCAGCCACTCCTAGGCGCGCCGGTACTGAACGACCGCATCCCAGAGAGAGTGAGTCAGGGCAGCAAGGCCTTGGGATGGGACGCTGGCGTGGCCGAGGCCTTGCGCGAGCGCGAGCGCGCGCCGAAGTGGCGGCCGGCCAGGCCTGCCGGCGAGACCCGTCGGGCCTCGCTGGTGTCGTGCTGTCGCCGCGCTCCAGTGCCGACGAGAAGGTCGGCGCGTCGTGGGCGGACGGTGGTCCCCGAGAGCGCGGGCCATCGATGACCTCACAGCCTCGGGGGTGAAGTCCACGGCCGCGGCGCAGGGGAGCATGGAGCACGAGACGCTCGCTACCCTGGCAGCAGCCGCCCAAGCGTTGTGGTCCCAGTTGGGAGGTCATCGTGGAGCACGTATTCGCTTCCGGAAGGGCGGGGTGCGCAAAATGCGCATTATAAGATTTAACGACAGCGCGCGAGGACCACATGCCGTTGGCAGCCGCCATAGCTGCTGAGTCGGTTGAGCTGGTTTCGTTCCTGCAGCTGTGGTGTTCAGAGGAGGAAGAGGTACCCATACCTCTACCCTTTCCTCGTTTTTCCCTGTTTGAGCCTCCTCGGAGGCCCTCGTCGCCACCGCTGGATTCGCCTCGAAATCCTAGTCAGAACGCACCCCGGGAGAGGTCCGGAGGGTAGCGGTATAAGCCGAGTGTCCACGCGTGGCAGCACGAGGGTTTGGCCTTCCAGCGCATTCTTTGAAAAACATGTGCAGCATTGTGTATCCACATTTCGTGGGCGAGTTTCGGGGCAGAGGCAAACAGTGCTCCGGCTGGCAGTAATAGCTCAATGTCCGGCGCGCCCCTGGCCCGTTCTGTAGTCCAGGAGCTGCTCGGGTGGCGACTGGATCCTCAAAAGGCGGTCGCGGCCGCTCGCGGCTTCGTAGCACTCGCCCTGGGCGCGTCTCTCGACGCAGGGGCGCGGGCTCTGCATTTTGTCGCGCCGCCCGACAAGTAATGCCCCAAATGGTTGGCAGAAATCCCGGACATTCTCGCCAGCCCGAGGCTCACCCCAGCAAGCGCGCAGAATCTAGCTGGTCGACCCAGCTGGGGAGCCGCGGAGGTTTTTGGCAAAGGCGCCCGCGTATACCTCGCCCCGCTGTTCTGGCCCGCTTCAGACGAACGGATGCCGATGCGTCTGATCAGGGCGTTTGAGTGGTGGCAGCGCTTTCTGGAAGCGAATCCTCGCAGGAGCTTGCTTCTGGATCCGTCTGTCGAACCGCGACTGGTGATACACACAGACGGTACGGGAGCAGGCACGTTGGCATGAGCCGCGGCGCTTGCAGGCGGAATGTGTTTGTTCTTGCGCGGGCCCCCCGCTGGCTCAGCCGGTGGGCGTGCAGGCAGCAAATTGCCACGTGGGACTTTGTGGCCGTCGTCTGTGCTCTGTGGTATTTTTGCAAATCTACCGCCAGCGCGGGGAGCTTCGATACTGTGGCGTGTCAAGCTTCTCCGGAACACGCGCACATACATCACCACCGCGGGTTTGTTTTCTGTCATGGGTTGATCGGATTATTGTTTTGGCGGTGGGTTGCAGGGCGCGTCAAATCTCGCGGCGATGACATGCCGCGTGTGCGGCGTCATTTGGGCACGCGGTTGCGTGCGCCAGAAAACAACACATTCACGTGGTTTATGTTTCGGGGTGGTGTATAAAATTCCCAGGAGGCAACTTCTTTGAGACACCGCCACCGTGCTGTCATAGGGTGCTTGGGAGCACCGCGCTGGCGGCCAGGGCGAGCCTGCGCCGCCGGCCAGCGAAGCCCCCCCGGCAGGAGGGCCCGCGCAAGCCTCAGGGGGCGAGGCGGCGGCCGCGCAGCGGACCGCGGAGTTTGCAGAAGCGGCGCTGGCGGCGCTCCGTTTCCTCGCTGCACTGCGCCTGCGGTGCGAGCGCGTGGGCCCAGGGGAGTTGGCCAACGCGGTGCGTCAGAGGAGCTCCACTCCGCGCGGCAGACACGCCACTGCGACGCCCCTGGCAACCCGCGGGAGCGCGCGGCCCGCGTTGAGCCCAATATGGCCGGGCTCATGGCGACGCAATAGCTCTTCAGAAACAAGTTTTTCGCTTGGCACCGCAGCGCGCACAAGCGCGCTTCCCCAGTGCGCCCATGAGGGCAGGTGGCCTGGAACCCTAAAGCGCCGAGCCCCCGCCGGAGCCAGTGCTGGGAGCATGCGCGTTCGCAGTGCAGAACGGGGCCTCTCTGACTGCACGCAGATCCGTACTGTGCTCAGGCTGTTCCACGTACCGCTTGGGCGCTTGGAGGACACTTCATGCCTGGCGCGTGGAGCGAGCAAGGCGGCCGCGGCAACTCGGCGTTTCCGGGCGCGGGCCTCGGCGCGGCAGACCCGGTCTGTCGCGCAGCACCTCCGGGAGGCGCTTTGGTGATCCCGCAGGCAGACGGACCCCATTCCAAGGTAGTCTTGTCCACCGAGGGCTGCCTGCCGACGGCCAGCATGCACCTGCGCCGGCGCAAGACGTGCACTGAGACGACGGTTGTGTCCAGGCGGTGCGTCTGCGCCTTGCAGTCCCGGCAGCTCTGCGGGCCGCGCGCGCTGCGCGGTCGCGCGCAAACAATCCGAGTCTTCCCCGCGCTG